ACCCCTGATAAACTTATAGGTGGCCATCAGATCACCCCTGAGCCTGCGCTTTTCCAGGCTAAAGAGCCCCATGGCTCTCAGCCTGTCGTCATAAGGTCTGTTTTCCTGACTTCTGGCGTGGCTCTTCTCTGGACTCTCTCAAGCTTCTCCACATCCTTTTTGAATTCTGGAGCCCAAAACTGGATGCAGTACTCCAATTAAAGATCTGGATGATGAAACTAAGTAGGGTGGAGTTGTAGACACTTCGGATGGTAGGGCTATGATCCAGAATGATCGGGATAAACTGAAGCAATGGCCCAAAATCAAGCCAATGAAATTCTAAAAGGACAAGCGCAAAGCCCTGCACTTGGGTCAGAATAATTGCATGCACCTATATAGGCCGGGGAATGATTGACTAGGTTGCAGTACTGCAGAGAAGGACCTGGGTGTTACAGTGGATCATAAGCTGAAAATGAGACAACAGTGTGCTCTTGTTGGGAAAAAAAAATCCAACAGCGTAATGGGTTGTACAAACAGGCGTGTCACTTACAAATGAAAGGAAGTGATTCTTCTTTCTTCAGCACCAATGAGGCCTCACCTGGAGTAGTGTGTCTAGTTTTGGGTCCCACAGTTCAAGAATGAAGTGGACAGATTAGAAGGAATCCAGTGGAGGGTGACAAAAAATATTAGAGATCCAAAAACAATTTATGAGGACAGCCTGAAAGACCTAGGATTATTTAGTTTGATGAAGAGAGGCTGGGAGGGATTTGATAAGTCATCAGACACTTAAAGAAGATGGAGACAAACTAGTCTCTGCAGCTGTAAGGGACAGAATTACAATCAATGGCCTCTAAATTGGATTGGAGATTAGGAACAATTTTCTGACTATGAGGGTGGTTAAGCCTTGGAACAGGCAACCTAGTGAAGGTGTGGAATCCTCACCCCTGGATGTTGTCAAGAGCAGATTAGAAAGACACTTTTCTGGAATGGTTGAATCAGGGATGACCCTGCCCTGAGCAGGGGGCTGAACTAGATGATCTGATGAGGTCCTTTCCAGGCCTATGATCCTATTCTTTGGAGTTGGCCCAGCTCTAGTTTGGATCATGTAAAAGTGAACTAGCATCTTTCTCAGTGTATGGATTAGCACCAGAAAGTCTATAAAAAGTCTAGTAGTTACCAATCTTGATATATTAATATAGATTATAGGCCATTTTTAAATGAGGGGCACATATACACATGCCAGACATGTGCTCCAACACATTCTAATTAGAACACATTGGAGTAGACTCAATTAATTGAGACTGATTAATTGAAACAGATCGAGCAGCCTCAGCACCATGTGTATTCAACATCCCTGCATTTCAAAATGGTGGCAGAGGTGCTTTAACTAAAGCTCATCAAACAAGCTTTAGTTAAAATGCCCCCGCCGTCATTTTGAAGCTGAATAGACAGGGCACTGTAGGCATTTTAACTAAAGCAGCTCCTGAAAGCCGCTCTAATTAACACCTCCTACCCTGTCCCCACAACCACCCAGAGCATATGTAAAGACATCCAAGGATTTTAACTAAGCATGCCCATCACTTTGGGTTTCCCAACTCCCAGTGAACTGAAGAAAATGAGAGAATACAGCCTGCAAAAATGAAGAGTGCTCAACTCATTCCGTAAATCACACGTGCATAAATCTTTTTCCCCTCACAGGATGGATGTTTGGTCTAGATATGTCAGTGATGGTTTTCCTGATGCCAGATCTCTGAGTCCCAATCCTCAACTGGAACAAATCAGCATAGCAGTAGAGCTACACTATGTTGTACCAGATAAGGTTCTAGTCATAAATCTCTGGTCTAAAACCCAGCAGTTAACAGTTTAACATGTCATTTTGTTTAAATAACCTATTACGTTTAGTTCTATACCACTAGTATATTGCAGAGAGACCTATTTTCCATTCCAGATGTACACCAAACTTATAATAATACCAGTGAGAGTTAAACACCTGCATGAAGGCAGAAAGGAAAATATTTAGATCATTACAAGATGGGAATTTGTTTTCAACCTAAAATAAAAGCCTGTATCATATCTTATTGTTCAACATATTGTTACCTAATGTAACCTGGCTTCATTTGCCAGAGCTTTACCATGTTTACCTTGTGTTGTTGGCTTGTTTAAAATCAAAGGCTGTTTTTGCTGGCAGTTTTGGAGCATTCAACTTTATAATGCTTTCTTTGAACGTGAATGGTATTTACCTTGGATGACAAGCTTCTTCAGTGTGATTTAATGAATAGGCCCTGAGAGTGGAATGGAATAGACAGTGCTTCAGGGCAATTTACCCTGATGGTATGCATGGAAAAGCTCAATGGACAAAAAGATTTGGACATCTAACTGCCACTTTAGCCATCTAAATCCAAAATTTAGATCCTCAAAACTACTGCTCAGTTATTACCTAATCCGGGAGTCATTGCCTAATCCTAAAGCCCTGGACCTTTAAGTATTATTAGTTAAGTTTCCTAGTCTTCTTTTTTCATTAATAGACTAAGGTGCTTTCAGTTAGCTTCCACAGGGTCAGATGTGCACAGTGGCAGGTAATGTGGAGTAGTTGATACAAGGAAAAACCCCATCCTCACTTACCTCATAATAATTTGCTCATGTACCTTTGCCTTAAATTCTATCTGACAGCTCTTCTACATACAGCAAGTATGTTACAAACCCAACACTGCTCCATGTGGTGGTTTTCCTCTTGAATGGGGTTTACTCCCCACTATATGATCATTTGAAGAAATCAACTGTATTCTTTGTTTTTTGTTATATATAACTGAATATGCTAAGTATTTTGTTGTTTCAGAATCTAAGTACAGTATTACACCGTCTTGTGGTGCCACAAAGAAATCAGTAATCACTCAAATGAAATCCCTTCATTAATGGAATGGTCTAATGGACCTGGTTTAATGGAAATGGATCAAAGGAATGTATGTCCATTAAGGCAGAAAGATGTAAAACATGTCAATATTGTCTACAGAAGTCATTCAGATTTCTTTTAACCAAGACTCATTACAACCTATAGCAAAGCAAATAATCTGTAGAAATGTATTGTTATGCTACTGTTATAAACTATTTACACTTTATAATAGCAATAGGTCTATCAAAGTCAGTTTTAACCTTTGTGAATTACCATTTTGATTTTTTGTTACCTGCCTTTCGCTTCCTCTTTAGCTACTACATATAAACCAGTAACATGATAAAAAATTAGTATTTAAGGAACAAAAGGCCCCTCGTGCAACAAAGAGCACCATTTACCACAACCCAGCAAAGCTATTAGTATGCAAGTCATTGCCTTTCATTCAAGAAGGCCTTTACCAGGTGAAGAATCTTTCCCCATTGGCTGAACCATTTTTGTCATACTGGTATATTTTCAGTCCCAGGAAGCCCGTGCAAATATATATCTGGTATGAGAATACACTTATTAAAGGAGCATATCTATTTGAAAAAGAACTGTATGCTGTGTCTGAGATCACATATTTATAATTAAACCCTGACAAATAAATATTTGAAGAAATCTGCCTAATGTATCAAACTACACTTATCAAATGGTAAGTAGCATGTCTGCTTTACCAATTGGGAGATGGCAAAATCATAACATAAACCCTATTGTATTAGGTTAATAATATAAGCAAAGAAATGCCATCTAATTTAAAAATACTTAACACCTCAACCTGACAAAGGGATAGATACTCCAGGCCAAAGCTATTTGCTGAAGAGGTCTCCGCTCTGCCTTCGTAACAGGTATACAGCATAGAGAATATGCTTCTGTTTCAGTTTGTAGATAAAAGTTACTAATGTTCAATTTTGCACATACAATCAAACATTGCTTTGCTGTAATAATATTGTTCTCAGTTCTCTCTCTCTCTGATCTTCCTGTCTGTACTTTTCTTCTAGTTTCTGTTTTTCAGAGTCCATAATATAAAAGGTAGAATCTGTGGTTCTTCTGATTTTCTCAAACTGACTAAAATCAGCAACATATTTTCCACTTGGAGAAAGAGAAATTACAGGTACAAATTCATAACCCCAGTGGATCTCGTCTGGAATATAAGAAGTTCTGCTTTGGCAGACAGCACTGGTAGACTCTACTGTGGCATTCAAGAAAACAACCAGTTCAAAATCTTTTTCTTTTAGGTTCTGGGGGGTGAGATCTCTTAAAGGGCTATTTTCATCCAATATATGGTAAAAGGTCAAAGGTAAAATCAAAAAAGGACTTTCTGAAGAGGAGTCAACATGGAATTTGACACTGTCTTGGTTGAGAAGGATCTTCTCCCCTTCTTTGGTTTCATAGGTTTGAAGAAGTTTCCCAGACAGCTGACACTGAATCAGAAGGCTTTTCCGCATGTTTGCCACTCTGATTACAAGGCAAAGTTCTCCATTGTGCTTGGTAATTACAGCACAGTGACTGAACTTAATAGTCTCAGCCCGTTTTTTGGGTCTTGCAATTTTGGCCAGGAAAGTACCAGTGATAAAGATCTCAATCAAGGTTGTAATAACCAGTTGGGCAACCAGTAGGAAAATGGCATGAGGACACTCTTCTGTGATGAAACGGAAGCCATAACCAATGGTCGTCTGTGACTCCAAAGAAAAAAGAAATGCTCCAGTTAGTGAGTTTACTTTCTCAACACAAGGTACATGCTTATCAGAGAATGGATTCCTTTCTAAATCTCCATGGAGAAATGCAATAGCATAATAGATAACTCCAAAGAGGAACCAGGTCATCACAAAAGTAGCAGCAAACAAGGTAAGCTTGTATCTCCACTTCATGTCTATAACTGTGGTCCACAAATCTTGAAGATAAAGCAGGTATATACCATCCACTTTGTCAATCCTCACATTGCTATGGCCACTTTTGGACATCACACGAGGTCTGTGTGTCTTGAGCTGAGCATTGATGCCACCATTAATGAGTGGAGCACTTGACATATTGATCTGAGTGGCTTCCATTTTCAGTGCTTCAGTCCTAAGAAGAGGAAATAGAAAAATAATTAAGTTATTACATGAAGTCAGAGTACATAACTGATTCTTAAAACCATTTAAAAATACTGATCAATAGCAAATAGAAACATTACATATTTATAGGGAAGAAAACCACCTGGAATAAAAAAAGTTATTATCGTATAGTATTTGCTACTGAAGCTAGTAATTTTTTTCAAAGAAAAAGTAATTATTTGACTTTACTGAATGCCATATAAGGAAAAAGCCTGGAAAAGAGTCTGACCAAGCTGAATGCCTATGTTAGTATTTTATTTTTGGAAAGATATTAAATAGATTTCTTCTCATGTAAAAAGAAAGGAGAAGAGACTATTTTTTTAACACAAATCCTACCAATGTACTCAGGAAACAGATTACATTAAAATTAACGATTTTGATGCTTGGGCTAGAACATAGGATCAGTACACTAACCATGCCTCTCCAAGCACTTCAGGCAATCTAAACCAGACAAAATTTAAGTATGACCAATTAACTTCCACAAGTGATTTAATAAACATTTGCTAAACATATAACTAAGTTACAGGGAAACAGCATAGACCCATGAATACATAAAGGAGAGCTTGGAAAAAAAATGTTGCACCTGAAAACTCATCAAGACTGTTTATAATAGAGCGCACCAGTTTCAAACAGTCCATGGAAAACAGAAGGTAAATTCACAAAATCAGCATTCTAGCAGTGGGCCCTGACCTGTGCAAACACAGCAATCATTGAACCACCAGACTCTTGAAGTTTGTTTACTGTGCATCCCAGTTCAGTCCGGATGGAGATTAAGTGTGAGGACACCCAGGGCTGAACAAAGCCCACAGAGTGCAGTGGAAGGTTGCCTGTGCCACTTTGATGAGGCAAGTAAAAAGACACTGCTTTCAGGACCAGACAGGGTTATGTAGTGCAAGGACAGGGCACATTGTAGTAGTTTCCAATAACAAAACTTCCTGCTCTAAAAAAAAAACCCCTATGCATCCTTTGTGCTTTGGCAGTTCACACAACAAGCATTGTTTTGTTCCACTGTTTGGCTCAAAGAGAAACTTTAATAAGTGATTCATTTTTATGAACCAGAGAAAAAAGATATGTTTTTCCTTGCAACTACTTAAAAGAAACTCTCAGGAAATTCAAGATGCAGTGGTGGTATACGTATGTGCCAGCCTAGGACAAGAAAATAATTGTTTGCTGTTGCACTTTCCTGTTATGTTAATAAAACAGCATTTCGTTTACTGAATACAGCTGTAATTGAGTTACTCTTTTTCTGGGGAAAAGTTAAACTTTGGTATTATTATTATTATAATCAGGCTGTAAATCATTCTGATTTTGTCCTAATCATTAAGCTCATTTTCGTATTCCAGGATCAATTAAAACATACATTTAAAAAAATAGCAGCGCTCTGATGATCCCAGCAAGAGATCTTTTATGTGACAGTCACCTCAGCACATACGCTGCACAGTATGTCCGGATAATAAACAGGAAAAAAGGCCAAGTGATCTGAAAAAGAACAACAGGAGGAAACCGAAGGGAGGGAGGTGAGGGGGAAGCAGCATACAAGCAACTGCTATTTAAACAAGCTTAGAATTTAAACATTGTCACCAAAGGAAAAGGCACCTTAACATGAGCATACGTAGCTTCTAATGGGAAACGTACTAAGAAAAATGCATGCCATTTAATCAAAAGACTCTGGTGCCGAACTTAATGACACAAAAGGGCCCCAAATCTGCCCTGATGTTGATATTGTCACCCTTTAAAACAGGACTCTGTAAAAATGGATTAATCAGGCACCTGCACACGTCTCTCACGTGTACGCCATGATCCAGAGGATCGACCATTGCCTACTAAAGCCCATTCCCCATCAGTCTCTGCTTCCAGCCACAAGTAATGATTTGTTAAAATTAGTTCCCTTCCACAAATAGCTTTGAGTTTCTGAAGGGAAGAAAAATATTGGCCTTTATGAACACTTTACGTACAGGGGAATAAGTCCCATCTCCTGCACACCCTACCTTGATCTCTGCTTTGTGTGTAGAAGAGGGTTACAGCTGGCTCCCCAAAGCTTGAGCAGGACTCCGAGGTGTGAGTTCTACCATCTTCCCTCAACGCACCAGGAAGTGGAGCAGATGTGAAGAGTAATCAGACCCTGCAAGGCTACTGCAAGACAGTCCCACCATTACAGCAGGGAGGAGCCTGGGAGGCACATGTCCTTTGCAGGGTTACTTCTTGGGTGGCAGCTATATTATGGACCACGTCTTGCATTGACCAAGACATGTTCTTTCATTACATGTACTACGTGGTCCACGAAATCTCCCTTTCAACCCTTAACTGAAGCCACCTCCCATTCCCAATGTTCTCATTACTTCTTTAGCCAGCTTGAGAGATCAGTGGGCTTCTGAATCTTCAGTAAGTTATATACAAGTTAAAATAGCTTTTCTCCAGTCTTTGGTTTCCTTCTCTCTTAGTTCGTATTTCTGTTAGCCAGTTGTTCCCATGGTCTTGCTGCCTTCCTTCTGAATCCTTGCTGAATTGATCCTGTTGAATCCCAGGATTTTTTTTCATTTGTTTTAAACTTTGTATATTCTGACTTGCCTCACTTATTCCTGCATCATCCTCAATTTCTTCCCTCTTTTGGAAAATTCATGTTGGTTTCCTTTCTCTGGAAAAGTGCGTCTTCTCCTTTCTGTTGCATTAATACAGGAAGACAGGAATTGACAAACTGTATCAGAGCAGTGATCTGATATGTTGTCATGGACAGTGGCTAGTGCCAGACACTTCAGAGGAAGAAACTCTGCTGTAGCCAATTGCAGAATAATCTCTCCATGAGAATAAAAAATTCCCACAAGAAACAGAGATTGCCTTATATCCTGAATCTAGAGGGGCTGAATCCTTTTAAAAGCTCTTGCTAAAAAATGGTTACTGTTATAGGAGCCTCTTGTTATAGTCTTGTAAAACTCTTTATAACTTGTGGCAATGAGTACTACAGGCTCATATTCTGCTATGTTGAAAAACACAGCAATTTTGTATTTGTCAATGCCAATTATCATTGTATGTGTGCTTGGCCTTGTAGTGAGAAAAATAATGAAAGGGAAATTTCCGTCTACTAGTCTAAAACATTCATTATTTTGCACACTTCTACCTTGTTCCCTCTTATTCATCCCCTTCCTAAAGTAAGCCATGCCATTCTTTTAAGTTTTTCTTTATATGAGAGGTCTTCCTTGTCCTTAATCATTCTCACTGTTCATCCTTGATTGCTGTCTAATACTGCAAGTATCCTTTTTTGAGATCAGGCAGCCAATGTGGTATGCCCAACGAGGACAAATCATAGATTTATATAATGAGATCTATCTATGTACCAGCTATGAATTTATATCATGGTATTATAATATTTCCCTCAGTATTCTCCCTTCCATTCATTTTTATATAGACTTCTTAGGTATTTCTACATAGAGATGTCCTTGCTTTGGCTGGACATTTTTAATTCTGTCTCAAGTTCTTGTCCCCTTATAATTGTTATCCTTCTCTCTATTTTTCCATCAGTCAGAAAGCATTCCTTATTTAACAAATTTACATTATTCAAGGAAATATTCATAATAAGAATATATTACTAATTGTAAAGAAGCATCTACAATCTATTATCTGGGTGATCTACTCTGAAGAGAAAAGTACCATTTCTATTAGCCAGAATACCTGGTTAAAACTTTACAAAAACTCTAACTCCAAAATGAAAATGAGTGGAATAAGAGTGAAAGAAAAAGATGGCATGATAAAGGAAGACGCACAGACATGCACAACCCTACAGTACCTTTGCAATGACCTTCTTCTGATTCTTGACCAGAACTTTGGATCAACTGAAGGAGAGACTTCACCAGAATGCACCCTGATAATAAAGCAGTTTAACAGGGACAAAACTATGAAGTTTAGTTACATACTTAACCACACCTCTTAAGATAATGCCAGGAGCCAATGATACAAATAGATTGACACTGACTCCAAAGACCACATTATCAAAGAGCAGAGGCCAATATGCACACGTACAAAAATGTCCATACACATAAAGCCAGAATAGCTTGTGGGAGACCGACATAAATCAAGCAAACATGCACATAATGACCAAATGTCTTCAAATGCCTTCTTGTTTATATATCAGATGTGCTTCACCATCTGCCCCCCCCCCGCCCCCCCC